GCGTACCTACCGAAGAAAGAAGCGTAGTGACGAGCTTCAGCGAAGGGTTCGCCGGCAGCGCCGCGCCGGGTCTGCCTTGGTCTGCCGCGGTACGGGACGGGGCTCACTTCAGAGCGGCACCACCAGAGTGCGCTCCGCGCATCTTCCTCACTTGCGTCAATTAAATCATTTATTTAAATTATTTAATTGAGATTCTCGCTGTTTCATGACTGTAGATCTTCAGTTCAACCTAAAGGCTAACAAAAACCCTAGCGCATTAGTGGGTGTTTTATGTCATTTTTGTATTGTCAGTCCGGTCCCTCCGGGGAAGGTGCCCAAGTTGAGCGACGCTCGCCTCGGGTGAATCTTCCAGCTGAGTCGCCGGGCAGCAATTTTGGTTCCGCCCGTTTTCTGTGCAAGTGCCGAGCTAGTAATCGATTTTCGGTGTCCCCGTTCACGATGTACGATTCTCTCGAACCGGTGATAAATCGATTATCGACTAGTAATCGATTGTTCGATAGCGCCGGGAAGTTCATTCTTATAGGATGACTTCTGAGTTGCGGGTGCCCCTCGAATCCGCTGCCTGCGGTTGCCGCCCGAGCGTTCCGCACTCCTTCGCGGAGCCTGCGTGGCACGCTTCGCTTGCGCCTGGCGCCCGGTCTCCGCCCCGCTCCCTATACCCCATTCCGTAGCCTCGCCTACCTTTCCTTGCTCTTCTCGCGCCCGGCGCCTGGTCTCCGCCCCGCCCCCCACTCCCCATTCCCTAGCCTCGCCTTCTTTGCATTGTTCTTTCTCTTCCCTCGATCGTCATCGCGGTCGCGATTATAGCCTCTTGACCGATGTCCCGTCGAATATTTTGTAAGTTTTTACCGTCACCTTTGGCCCTGTCTCCACGAGCCGTTTCGCGAGATTTGTCGCCGGGAAAAATCCCACTTACGAAGTTGGGAAAAATATTGAGTTAATCAATATTTTTCCCAGTACCAGGTATGGTACTTGTACCCTTAGGACCCAGTGAGAGAAGAAGAAGAAGTGAAAACGAATTGTGCGATATTTTATTCATTACTACATCGTTAATGTTTGTTCAGTTAAAAGAATGTGTCTAATTGTCAATTGAGTGCAATTATTATTTTAATACCGGTTAAATACTCGACTTTAACTCATTTATCTTCCCGCGCAAACTGGTCGCAGGACTGAATGAGCCCCGTCCCGTGGAGACGGTAACTGGGAAAAATCCAGTGTTCCTAGGTGCTCCTATCTTGAAAAGTCCGTACGCTCTCCGGATGGGCTCGTGTATGTTCGTGCCGCTCCGTGCTCCGTGCTCCGTGAATCGCCTCCCGCGATTTTTAAATATTATGAACTATAGTGGTGAATCTTGATAAATGAGAATTCTAGTTCAAAGTATTGTGAATTTTTAGCCATACCTACTAAACATCAATTCCTATAAGAACTTCCATGATTTTTCCTCTCTGGGCAAAGCAAATTCTGAGAAAATTTCAAGGAATGATGTTGATTTGTTCTCTTTTAAAAAATACCTAGCAGTGATTTTTAAATGCTGCGAACAAACTGTTGTAGCTACCTATGTCCAAATTATGCTTGGATAGCGTCATTCAAGTACCTATGTCCTCTAGAAAGCATTGGCAGGAAAAAATAATCGGAACAATTATAGGTACCTAAATCAAAAAGCAATAGGTAATTCAAAAGATAGGAGCTGACTTTTCATGAAATTCATAATTCCTAACCCATTGAACTGATTGAATAACATAAATTAATGCAAAAAGTACTAAATCAGGTCCTGTATGATACCTGGGTTTTATTCGTGGCTTCTTTATATCAACAACATTGGCGAAATTGAGAAATAAAAATAAGAAAAAATGTCAGAGTGATCAAACACAAAAGCACAACAATACAGAAAACAGGGACGGACCTTAAATGAAATGACTGAATTTTGATAAGAATATTATATAATTAATGCAAAAAGTATCTAATTTGTTTCCGAACGATACCCGGCTCTCATACTAAACGTAATTGTATCAATAACTTACGCAAAAGTAATAAATATTGCAAAGAAAAGCGGATTAACAGACGCACGGACAGGGCCGGGAGAGCGTACGGACCATTTAAGATAGGGAAAAATTTTCCCATAGATTTTGGTACGTACGCTGTCCGCGCGGCACGGAAGTATCCGCACGCCTGAGATCACTGGAAAAATCCCAGAAGTTTCCTTCCTGCGATTCGAACTTGGGACAAATCCTATGAAAACGTCCCGTGGAGACAAGGCCGAAGGGTTCGCCGGCGGCGCCGGGTCTGCCGCGGTACGAGACGGGGCTCAGTTCAGAGCGGCACCACCAGAGTGCGCTCCGCGCATCTTCCTCATTTGCATCAATTAAATAATTTATTTAAATTATTTAATTGAGATTCTCGCTGTTCCTTGACTTTAGATCTTCAGTTCAACCTAAAGGCTAAGCGCACCCTCAAAAACCCTAGCGCATTAGCGGGTGTTTTATGTCATTTTCGTATTGTCAGTCCGGTCCCTCCGGGGAGAGTGCCCAAGTTGAGCGCCGCTGGCCTCGGGGGATTCTTCTAACCGAGCCGCCGGGTATCAATATAGATCCGACCGATTTCTGTGCACACGGCGAGCTAGTAATCGATTTACGGGATTCCCGTTCACGTTGTACGCTTCTCTCGATCTTGCGATAGATCGATTAACGACAATATGTCGATTAGTCGATAGCGTCGGGAAGCTCATGTAGGCTGGATTTGAGATGCGGGTGCCTCTCGAATCCGCTGCCTGCGGAGGTCGCCCGAGCCTTCCGCTTGGTACGCTTCGCTTGCGCCTGGCGCCTGGCGCTTGGTCTCCGCCCCGCTCCTTTCTCCCCATTCCTTGGCCCCGCCTACCTTTCCCCGTTTTTCTCGCGCCCGGCGCCTGGTCTCCGCCCCGCACCCCATTCCCCATTCCCTAGCCTCGCCTTCTTTGAATTGTTTCTCTTCCCTCGATCATCATCGCGGTCGCGATTTTAGCCTCTTGACCGGCGTCCCGTCGGCAATTTTTTAAGTTTTTACCGTCACCTTTGTCTTTGTCCGTCGATCACCAATTATTCGTCACTTCGATTTTCATTCAATATCCCTAGTTTTGCTTTCGTCTCCGTCCCCGCCTCTCTCACACAGATGAACCCACCGTGCTGGCCGCTCTGCGTGTGTTGGTTATCGCCCTCTTGCTTTTGCTACCCTGTCCAATGATGACCAAGTTGGGCTTACAATTTTTTTCGGCACTTCAGTTTTGATTTTAAAATTAATTTTTAATTCGCTACAACAAGGAAGGTATCCGTTATGTGCGTATCATCTCTGAAACCCTGACACCCCTCCCCCTCAAGTTAACACTCCACCCGAATGCCGTCCGGATTTAGTCACGCCACGCCACTGATGAATATACCGTCAAGTATCAACAATTCAACCTGCATTTTCAACCGGAACTAGTGAAACCTATCTTTGAATAACTTCTTTTCTCTCCGACACCAATATTTTGAAAATACCCAAACTTATACTTAGTACTTATACTTTATTTTTTTATTTTTTTTTTTTTCTCCACGTGTCATCATTCTAGGTGCCGGTAGCCACCCCGGCCCAATCCTAAAAAAATTGACCACAAAAAAAAAAAAAAAAAAAAAAAAAAAAAAAAAAAAAGTTGAAGACGGGTGGCTGCTGCCTTACTAGATATACACGGAGAATATATAATTACACAAGTTTGGTCACAAATGAATTTTTCGATCAAAATAAGTTTGCGAAGTTTCAACACGAAATGTCTACCAGGACGAGTACAATCTATCGTTAAGAACCGTTCCATTTTACCCCCGAGATCATGTGTGTTTGTGTCAACAACTCAACAAAAGTAAGGTCTAAAATAAATTCTACGAGCTAAATCCCCCAAGGATGCAGATTTTCAACACGAAATGCCCACAAGTACGAGTAAACATCATCTTTGAGTGCTTAACTTATATTCCAATGTTTCTACGGAAGGTTTGAAAGAACGCGTTAAATTGTGTATTTGCGTTATTATATTGAGAAAAGTAAGGTCAAAAATGAATTCTACGATTAAAATAACCTAGGATAATTTTGGTTTAGCACGAAATCCCCAGGAACGAGTGAAATAATACGTTGCCGAAACAAGTTGGAAGTAAGACAATGACCGGGACGAGCATTTTCGCGCCACCGTGCGTAGCCGGTGCGAAGCAGAGAGGCGGAAAACCGAGCAGTGCCGAGGCGTGACTTCGTGAACGATCGAGTATCGGTATTTCCCCATTAGAAGTTATGGTAAAGAATCGATTGTTAAGGCGTTCGTTGCAATCGATATTTTTATCGATCTTTTCCCATTGGTTAAACCAATCGATATATCGCAATTGTACTGAACGGAGTATGGCAGTGGTTTTTGGCGGGAACGAGGATTCCCGAGAAAGTTACAAAGCGGGTACAAGGGTTTCCGGGTAATTTTTTCCAGAATGATTCTCTTTCGCGCTAAAAGTAAGTAGGTCTGTAATCACTGCGTAAAAATATGTGGGACCTGATCTTGTTTTTTCCAGAATTTTTTTACTGGAAAGATGTTAGCCAGCTGGGATCCTCTCATCCTGTGGACTTCCTTCGGGAAGCGTTTTATTAGAGCTTTTATTAGGGGTGGATGCAAATCCCACGAGAATCCTCATGAGATTGCACTAATCGAAATAACTTTAACTGATTCTGATCGAAACAGGCTTTCGAACCGATTATTTCGAAATTAACGATTACGAAATGATCGCTCTATCGTTTCGTACGAACCAACGAGCGAAATAACGTTTCGAGGACAGCCCTATATAGCTGCATTTTCTGAAGTGTTTAGACAGTGCTTTCCTAAGTCTTTTTACACTTAAAATGAATGTGAAATTGCACAACCTTTGCAACATAGGAAGATGCAGGCGTAAGTAAGTAGAATAGTTTTCACAAACCCGCTTGTTGTTTCACACAAGTTGACAGTCATGCTATTTTTTTTGCAGGTTGTGATATCGATTTTAGAATTGGAAGAGGAAGATGGGTTCCTCCATGGAGAACTCTAAAGTGCTCAGTTATCTATCAAAAGTAAGTGATTTCATCATGCTCAGTTAATTTGAAGATTTATTTTTTTATTGCTCATAAATTTTTATAGAAGACCGATGTAGTCAATAATTAGACGTCACGAAAGCTCGCTCATCATACGCAAAGACTCAGTTAAATCCTGTTTACATCAGCACTCATTACTGGCGATATCTGAATGCATGTATCAACTTGTCCAGTGACGCAGAAACTCTCTATATATCGACGGTGAAACTACCAGTCCACATATCTCGGTTTGCGACGTTACATGACTTCCAGTCTTACTTTATTTTTTCAATGGAAAACCAGTCGATGTCAATTCTCAAAAACTTCTGTGGTTTTTCTTCACTGTGCAAAGAAAACTCTGTGAAAACTTATAGGAATAAAATCGATTACTTCTCGTTCAAAAAAATAAAATGGGAGCGGAGATCTGTAAACACCGCAAACGAGACACGTGATCTAGTAGTTTCACCGTCGATATGTATCAATGTGGTCACTAAAAATGAGGTACCTCTTACAAGAATAGGAAAAAATGAAACCCTGTTAGCCAGACTGTTTCTCCGTGCCAAGATCACTAAATGTGTCAGGCCTCTTGAGCGTAGATTGGCAAGCGCTTAGGTATGTTTCTATCCCCAACAATGACCTAAACGTGATCTCTGGCACCCCACCTGTCCACCTAATTCTGGAAGAGTGGATCAACTTGGATTGTGGAGTGCCTCGCCCTAAGGCAAGGAGCTCTACTAGGGCTAAATGGCAACATGAGTGGGAGGCTACAGAGGACTTGGCGTAGACCAAGCGTCTTGTCCCCAACTTGGAGCCTTGGTTGTCAAGAAGGCGCAGAGACATCGATTTTTATATACGCCAGTTTTTATCAGGACATGGGTGTTTTTAAAGATATCCCTGACGTAGAGGCATTGTTTTGGACAGCGTTTGTCCGTTTTGCACGGAAGAGGATTCTGTGGAACATACCTTTTTTGGTTGCGGCGCTTTTCAAGAGCAGCGGGCTTCTCTCTTCGGTAGCCTCGGGGTGCTCACCCCGGATACCGTGGTGGATAGAATGCTGGAGTCAACGGAGAATTGGTTTATGGTATCAAAATTTATTAGGGAGATACTGATATTTAAAGACAAGGCGATAAATCCGCCTCCCGTTGAATTGCCACGTATCAAACCCGTGCTCCTCTCACATAGTCGATTGAGCGTTATTGGCGCCTCTAAACTGCTATTTTGTACTTGAATATTTTGTCATAGGTAATAGTTGAATTCCCCTTGTCACTGCTTTTTCTCGCTCTTTTGTCTCAAACTCCTTTATCGAATTATTTGTAATCTAAGTTTGCTTATTGAGAAATAAAATAATAAATAAAAAGACTGTTTCTAAATTTTCATTTTTATAGTGTTTTAGTGATGGAAAATTCAAACTTTTTTTAGTCAAAAGTATTATTTTCTTTTCTTTTTTCTTAAATTCAATAAGTAGGTATTTTAGTGTATAGGTACCAGGGAAGGTTGTCACCAACCTGGAAAACTGGGAAATGCCAGGGAATTTTTTTTTTTATGTCAAGGAAATCAGGGGAAATGTCTGGGAATCTGTAAAAATCCAGCATGTCGGGGAATTTTATTTTGCCTATGATTTTTATGTCCAGGAAATCGAAAAACATGGATTTTTAGGTTGAAAATTGATGATAATTCAAGTTTCAGAAAAATGGAATCAACACCAAAATTTCTACCAGAATGTTTGCTGACATCTTTTAAATTTTAAAAATGAGGCAAACATACCTGGCATAAGTTTTGGCACCATACATTTTGCTCTCTTTATTACATGCTATTCCTCAAACATGAAAAAATTCTTACTTATATCTAGTCAGTTTAACGAAGCCGAAAAATTAAGAATATTTTTTCTTTTTGTCGGGGGAATTCTTTTTTCCGTCTCTCAGGGAATTTTACATTTTTCCCGGTTCTTTGGCCGTTTTTGTCAGGAAAATCAGAAAAATGTCAGGAAATCTTACTTTCGAAAATTGCAAGACATCCTGTAGGGGTGCATACCGTGTGGAAGTTATATTAAGTCATGTATTTTTTTTTTCCAGTATCAAAACAAAGATCGAACAAGGAAGGATATTATGCAAGCGCTACAAGCATACCATGGATTAGCTTGCAGTGGTGGCCTTTACAGTAAGCTCTTTTTCCATTCAAATTAGTTGATGTTAGAACCAAGGGTGCAAAAATTTCCAAAATGCCAACTATTTTCTGCTATTCAGCATTTTTATCCCATCGCATTTTTTCGATTTACCAACGCTCATTTTATAGCAAAGTGCCCAATCTCCAGATAAAATGTACAATTGGGCAAGAAAAAGTCATCTCTTTTGTAAATTGTCTCAAAACCCACGATTTTATCCTAGGTTCGCAAGGTAGGGCAGTTTATTTTATGCACCCCTGGCTAGAACTCTAGAAGCGCAGTTCCAAGAGCCTGAAGCTTCAAGAAGAATGCCTATTGCTTGGACTCTTCAGATGAGTGACATGTTAAATTTTAACACTTACCAATTCATTTGTATCTTGATTTTCCTTAATCTCTTAAGGCTTTGATAACAATTATATTGTGATTAACCTCACGGAAAAAATTAAATTGCTGATTTAACAATTAAATTGCTAAAAAAAGTGACTGCAATATTTCAACGTAGATTTCACAACACAAAAACGCCACTTTAACCACCCCCATGGTTAAATTAGCTGACAATAGTGGTTAAAGAAGCATTTTTGTGTTGTGAAATCTACGTCAAAATATTGCAGTCACTTTTTTTAGCAATTTAATTGTTAAATCAGCAATTTAATTTTTTCCGTGTGTGCAGTTAGAGATGAAAATGGAAATTTTAAGCAAAATATTTCATGAGATTTCATCATAATCAAAAAATTTCCTTAAAATTGAAAGAACCTCAACCAGGGGTGTAAAATTTTCTTGACTGGTCACTTTTGGGAGAAGTGTATAGGCACCTGATAGGGACCTGATAAGTCATTTGGTCTTTTTCTTCTTTAAAGTCAATCAATTATTACTACCACATACGAAAGTATTACTCCATGAAGGGAACCTTTGAACAAGTTGTTTTCTGAGAAAGGAATTGCTTTGAGTGTTACTTTTTGCAAAAGATCCTGTCTTATGCATGCTTTTATGCAAAGAAAACAGTACAAAAAGCAATTCATTCCCCAATGGCTGCCTCAACAAATTTGAAAGGAAAGTAGTCATATGTGGACAGCAACATTAAAGCAATCTCTAAATAATGTGTGGGCTAAGAACTTTCTGCACCCCTGGCTCTAACCTGAATTGGTCATTCCGAACCTTAGCTTCATCCTCATTCAATATTATTACAGCTTGGTTCATAGAGGATCATTTCCTGATTGTAGAACTCAGGAAATAACTCGAAGGCCTTAACTAAATATTTCAATGTATGTCTATCTTCAGGTGCAGGTTGCATCAAGAGCTCCTGCCAATTTCCAGGATTTTAGTCAGAGTACTGTGAAATTAAGGCTGTAAAAGAAGGCCTTTTATGTGTCTCGATGAAATGATTGAATTGCACAAATGAGGCAGAGGAATGAAAGAACCTGTCCCAAAATTGTCTTAGGATCCATAGAAAATCATTCACTGAATTCAAAGTTTTTGAAGTTGGATAGTTAGGACAAAAGGGGGAGGAGATCAAAGTACGAAAAAATAGCACTTGTTTTAAATAGTGTGTTGTAGAGGTGTGATCCTGGTCTTAGAATTTAGAGACCATCAGCTCTCGACTGATATTAAATAAATTGCCACATTTTGAAATTTTAATCCATTGCAAGCACATGGCTGAAGCTCAAGATTTCAATTCTTTAAATTTTGGGCTGTGCCATTCGGAAAATTGCACGAAATAACTAAAATATATTTTATGAACGTAGGCTGTCTAAGCTTAAAGCAAGCCCAATTTCTTCGCCTATTACTAGCAAAATGATTTGGAACAGAGTTATGATTTTTTATAGTTGGTGCAGCGTGCAGAAGCCGCTTTCTGTAAATTAATGGATACATTTTCATCAAATTTTTAGAAACATGGCAATTTATTTTATCTTCCACAATCAAGCAAATCATGGATTTTTCTCCCATGGTTTATTAAATGATGTAATCAATGCCAACCAGTGCAAATGTGTGCGTCCTAGATTGACTTTTCAAAAAATGAGTGAAGAGTCCAAGAAAACCACACCAACCAAAATTAAAGAAGATGTAATTTGCCGTGTTTTGCGAAGAGCAATATCTGCGTTCATGCTGAACACAGAACCTTAGATTTTATCAATTTTTGCCAATTCACAAGCTGCAATCATCGCAGACCGCTTTTCCAACTTTCGTGACTGAGATAGTCAAGGAATGTATTTTCTAGTGTCTGTGGTAATCCTTAAAATTTATTACCTATAGAAGCATTTTGATTTTAGCAATGTTAACAAGACTTCTTTTTTGAACTAGCTTTCCGTGATTTCACAAAAAAGGACTTAGTTTGTTTGGAAGGAACAATTCCCATAACATACAAGAGTGAGTACTGAAAACAAAAATCTTGACTGTCCAAAGGTGGTCAAGATGGATTAACTGGCGCATGTGGCACCTACATTTTTACTTGGTTTTTGCCTTATACTTCTGCCTGTGAATTGAAAGCACACAGTTTTTTTTTGTTGCTTTCTTTACTTAATGCATCTTATCTTCAGTTTGATTTTAGCTGTTTTCTCTGGCCCTATTAGTCACCTCTCTGTAAAGTTAAATTGATTGACAACTTAGTGACAGCAGTCAGTAGCCATTATTATTGTTCTTCTGCCGTAGAGAAAAAAATCTAAACAGAAGTTTCAAATATTTTTCCTTCAATATTCAATGGCATCCTGACAGATGAGAAACATTTGAGCGTTAGGAATCTTCCGTATCAACTTTCTCACCCTCCTCTCGTATTTGACATTGCATAAAACTTTGTGACGTAATGAAACAAGCAGACAAATTATGACAAACAGTTTTTGACAAAAATTTTCACTGATTAATTTTCTGGAAATCAAAAAGTTTAAAATAAAATTTGAATCTGACAACTTCAGCATGTAGCTCAAAATTTGATATTTTGAAGCTGTAATGTCAAATGAAGCTTATTACACATAATTTATGGCATATTTGACACTTGAGTAGGTACTGTTTTGCTATAAGCAGAGGGATTTTCAAAAATGACAAGCTGCGATGTCTAAGGTCTGCTTTTATTCTTGCATCTCGAAGTTATGAAAGTGGCAGAGGGTTCAGGAAAACTGGAATTAGCCTGTTCCATAATTTGAGATGTAGATGAGGAATAGAGGTACAACTTAATCTGTTTATTTTTCTTAAACATCAGTTTCTTTTACTCTTCTCTCCTTCAACCAAAATTGTGGAGCAAAAATTTTGTTTTGCCCAGTGAACCTTCTGCTTTCTATATCGTTTTTAATGATTTTTTCCCGTAGTTGTATATTCTTGATGTTGCGCAGTTTCATTTTATTATTTTTTCTTTGGATTTTCAGCTTAAAACTCAGTTTGTAGGTGCTATCGTAATGCAGACTTCAACAGTTGTATATACGAAGCCAGAAATTTCCTGTGTTTCCTTTGTATGACTCTTTATCAATTTTTTTTTATTTCTTATACAATTCTTTTTCCTTTTCTTTGTCTAAAACTTCTTCTGTATAGATCATCGTACCCAGAAGTGCCCGAAGCTGGATTTAATTTGCTCAATTTGATGCCCTTACATAGCTAACGAGCTTAATTTAAAATCACTGAAGCACTTAATTTGGACAAGCCCATTGATAATGCTGATAATATCCCTGCCAAAATAATCAATCACTTCATTTTTCATCGATTTCATTATTTATTTATCATTTCTCTGCTCATTCTAATTACATATTTACAAAATTCTTATCTCTCTCATAACTTCTCACTTGTTAGGATCAAGGTTGCCGTTTTACTGGGTTTAACCTCTCACCATCCCCCACCCCTTAGGCAAGTTTCTTGCTTTATTCTTGTTTTGTTCCCTGAATTTTTCTCCTCGCTTTAGCTTCTACAAATGATAAAAAGATAGCTCTAGAACAACAGAGAAATTGAGCAAAACGGCAACTGCGCTCCAAGTGTAGTTGAGAATTTGATGTTGCATTGCAGGCCCTGGCCTTACAGAAATTAAGAAGTCAGTGCATGGGAGTACGCATATGGAACGATCCTATCATCGATTTCGAGAAAAGTTGCGTCTTGGTAAGCTCACATTGAGATCTGAAGAGCATGCACCTCAAAAAACACTCCAAGTATTTTAGAAACTCGTTGGCACTGCGAGCAATGTTTCGGTTCTTAAGGTTTATTTTTCATGTTCAAAGCGTTAATTTCATGGAATTTCAAGGAGTGAGATGATACTAACTCGAGCAGTAAAAGTTGACGCTTTGTCTCATGAAGAAATAAATTCTTGAAACTGAAGTTTTGCTTCGGTGCTCAGCATTGCAAGGATGCAAAAAAACTTCCAATTTTTTTCAATTACTGATTTCAAACTCGAAGCAAGGCAGAAAAATGCAAGAAAAGTAATTAAAACACTAAAATAAAATGAACTTCAAGTATCCTTGAAAAACAAAGGAAAGAAATGGAGGAAATCTTTTCATTATTTTTGTTCTCTTAGTATAACATCGCTCATATACGGGTGTGTGAATTGTGAAAAACTCAAAAGAGAATCTTTCTCTTTTTATGAATATGCTTTTTTTGAGGGACTGCTCCCTCTTTTTCCCCTCAACATAAATTTCAGAGAAATTTGAAGGTCAAGGCCCTTCTGAAACCCCCCTTCAAAAGTAACCACACCCTCTTTTTATGCTAGAGCCCCCATGTACGAAAACTGACTTCTGGAACATATTTCCTAATTAGGAACTTGAACATCGTAAAAAGGAGACAGGAATTGTATTTTTAACAGAATTTTGTATAGAGCCTGGGATTCTTCTCTTGCAGTGAAAGTTCTCTTGAGGCTTGCTATCAAGTTTACACCCTCAAGCTAGTTGATTCCAATAGAAAGTCTCACCAAAGAGCTAAATAAGCTTACAATTAGTTGAACTTCAGCGTAACCTTTTCCTGACAGAGCAAGTTCTAAAAAACGGAGAAAACTCATATTTCAGACTGAATTCTCATCGTTTTTTTGTCGGCTTATCCTTGATAATCTTATTTTAGAGTCCTGTCATTCATGTCTCTCGCTAAGTCTAGTTACTGAATGCTTGCTCAATTCACAAATTATCACCTTTATTTCATTTACCATAATCATCACTAATTCAACAAATGCCGTGAATTTTTTTTTCACTGCCAATAATTTACTTCGAAAGATTTCCAGCAAACTGCCAATCCTTTATGAATAGCATGTGTCACACTGTCAAAGCTAGCCATCAAAATATCAAGGTCAGATAATGTGATTGGCTTATTCGATGACTTGGATCAATCACAGCACGTGATCTTGACACTTTGATGGAGTATTTTGATAGTGTGACACCAGGGTGTCTACAAGTCCAGGATTTCCGGAAAGTCCAGAAAAAGTACTGATATTTTAAGGGCGGTCCGAAGTACTGAAAAAGTGTGGAAAGTCCGCAAGAAGGGCCGTATTTTTTTCTTCACTTTTGACCCGATTTAAGCGAGAAATTCAAATTTTTGAAATTTTTCGAATTTTGTCGATTGGAGGTACTGAAAGAGTACTGAATTTTTCTATTGAATAGGTACTGAATTTCTTGGGAATGTACTGAAAAAGTACTGCAAAAGAACTGACTTTTGGCTAGCCTGTTTTAGTAGACACCTTCGACGCAGGCTAATGCATCAGAATTCCGCATTTTCTCCCAAGGGCATAGGTAACCTTAAATTGTTCACCCTCAGAACCTGCAAAATTCATGATTATAGACCCCTCAACCCTCATCCTCTATTATTAATGATTTTTCCAAATTTTCAAAAACGGCACTGTATCCAAGCAAGCAAGTCTGACCTAGTTTTTTAAGATTAGCAGCTTGACGCCTGTGTAATAATAGACGTCACTATTTTTTCTGTCTTCACCCTGCAGCGAAAAGATGCTAGGAAAATGTCTGAGTTCGAAGATTATGTTACTGAAGTGAAGAGAGGACGTGGGAGATGAAAACAGAAATCTTGCAAGGAGTGCTAAGAAACTTACTAAAAGTATATACTTTAAGCTTCATCATGAGTTTTTTTTCTTTCATTTCTTTTACTCCTCTCCAAGCCAGGCATGCAAGACAGGAATTTTTTACATTCTTGGCAAGCAATATGAGAAATCCATTTTGCTAATAGCAAATTTTGTATTGCTTTCTCCATTTCAGGATTTTTTTTCCTTTTCTATTTCTCTCAGCAGTGAACTCAGCATTTATTAACCCGTTTGACTTTTTCTGCCTTTTTTGCTTTACATCCTTAATTCTCATTTATTTTTTCCTTTTTCTTTTTTTGGTGTGTGTTCTCACTTGCTTTGTAATGGTCATGCACAGCGTTTGATAATGGTATGCAGAAGTCTTTAGTCAGTATGATTGGTACAATACCAGTTTATATTTTAGGTACGTAGATTTTATTTTTTTTTTATTTATTGATAAGTAATTTGCATTATTCAGTGCATCTGGATATCATGGTATTATTTTGGTGAAAGGAGTATTACATTCTTTAAACCTGCAATGGCCAGGATTCACGAACAAGTATTGAAGTAAATCATGGCGAAATCCACACATCGATGGCCAAAAAGCGGAACTACGTAGGATCTCGTAGGAGAGACATTTTACATTTTGCCACTTCTTAAATTATCTTCTCACCAACATGAAGCACTGTGATTCCACTGTTGGCAAAATTCAAAAGAATGTCCCTTTTATTTTTGTTTTTTGTTTTTTGTTACAAAATTTCAAAGTCAGAGAGAAGAAAACTAAGTAAAATGAGGTAAGGTACAATCTAATAAGGCAAAGTGTATGTTTGAGACCAATGTGGACAAATAAAGGTGTTTGTATCTCGAGTTGAGCCGTTATTTTGGAGCCTAGTGAAGTGTAGAGGGTACCTACATGCTTTGACTTACCAATAGAATGCACCTGTACTCAACCTGTACTCAACGTTGACTCAATGTAACGTCAAGAGGGTTTAAGTTGCAACCTCCTGGGTGTATCTGCCCGTTGTGAGGCAATGTATGTCTACTCGCGCACTTTTGGCCATGAAAGTGGATAGTTATATTTTTCAATCAATCTTGAATTCACAAGAAACAAAGGAAAAAATGCTCCACAAAGGTATCAAATGTCGTTTCAGAAAACTGCAATCAGAAGAGAAGTAATAAGGAACCTAAGACTTCAAAAGCATAAAAGTGTTTCCCATTAAATATAATCAACTTAACTTATTCTGGAGTGAAAAACTAAGAAACTCAATGGCTCAAAATTTTCAAAGAAATAGCTTCATAATTCAACAAAAAATCTTTAAGAGACAGAAGAAAGAATGTTCATTTTTCTTTTAAATGAAAATGCTCTGAAAAAAGGAAAGTATAGCCTCATAGTGATCGTAAGAATTTCTTGGCCAATTATAGATATATTAAAGGAATAAATTTGAAGTATGCATCATAGGTAGGTTCAGGCTATTATACTGTTTTTGATTTTCCTCTCTGTGTAATTTTTCTATTTCTCTCTCTTCAGATGTCTGTTATCATTTTCCAATTTGTATCTGGCTCATGGACACACATCCTAAACATGCTCCTATCGTTTATGTTAAACCAACGGAGAACATGGTGATCAAACCATCGATGTATGTAGATTTTAATGGAAAAGTGTACCTTCCTTATCTTCATGAATGGAATGCGGTAAGTTATTTGCTGGTCGTCCAACACTGTGTCATACACAAAAATTGCAGGGTGATAAGTTCGTGAAAAGTCAGGGAAATCTGGGAATAGTCAGGAAATTTTACCCATCCCTGAAAATTTAGGGAAAAACTACCAATTTTTACTGTCGGAACTTGAATTTCTTTCTGCTAGTCGAAAGATCGAGTTATTTTTATTTTCAAAAGACTTTACGCTAAAAAAATCGTGAGCACACTATCATGACAAAAAGAAACATATAAAAGTTGAAGAAAAGTCAGGGATTAATTTTCACAAACCCTGAGAAGTCTTGAAAAAGTTAAGGAATTTTGAAATCAAGAAAATTTGTCACCCTGAATTGGCAATCAACAGGTTTACCGATTCTAAGTTTTGAGATTATGTCTCTGTTGACATTGTATTAGTTTACAAGTTGTTCTGGGTAGCTTGAGAATAAAAACAGAAAATATTCCTAAAGTTTTTCTCCTAAAATATTATGTTCTATTCTTTGCTTGATGGTGGTTGCTGGTTCTGCATTGTTAAAATTAGCCTTCAATCACTGTTTAATTACTGTGCAGCTTTAGCTATTTTTCTCAATTTTTTCAGGCAACATCTGATATCGTTTCTTTAATTCAAGTGATGTGTGCTGCCTTTGGAGAAGTGCCTCCCTTGTATACCAAACCGAAAGATAAACAAAATAGCTCTCCTTATCCTGTACAACCAAAAGGTGAGTAACCTCTGCTCATTGCAAACGCTTCTCTCTGATCGGGAAGTTTAAGAATGAATCAAACTTAAAATGCGCACCGAGGCGGTACTGCTTTATATCAAGCAAGCTTTTGTCAAACAATCAGCATTCTGAACTCTCTACTAGAAAGAGTCAGTGTTGGTTCATTCGTAAACAGCCATTAAAGCAAAATAAAAAGTTCAGTAGCAGCATAGAAGGAAACAAAAGTAGATGGCTTGAATAAATCAAGTTTAAGAATGAAAAAAATAAATACAAATGAAACAAATTTATAAAAATGGAAAAATCTGCCATGAAGGAACTAATAATTCAGTATGTGAAAGGTTCAGAAAAAGATTTAACAGGGTAATGTCCTTGTAACCCCAGGCGTCAGTTCAAATTTACTAGGGCTGTGCCAATGTGGTTTTTTTGATGTCGAATTCGAATCGAATATTTTTAGTTTTTACCTATTTTCGACCAAAACCAACCTCTGTGTTGGTCGAAGTAAAAATTGAATAAATAATTTTTTTCTTTCTAACTTTCAAATTTTGATTAAAGAAATTACTATTATGGATAAAAAGATAAGAATTAATCAATTCATTTAATTATCAAATGGTTTTGCGAACATTTTAATTTGCTAGGGAGAGAAAATTGTTTCCTTACAGGACGACCAATTGATCGAACTGTCGTGGAACTGTAAAACTGCTTCTTACTGTCCGAAAATTTGTTTTATTCTGTTTTACTCCACATCAATGTTGATCTCGTAAAGACAATCTAGCAACATTGTAAAGACCGGGGTGCCGCGCGGGGCGGAGAAGGATAGGCTATGGACGTTAGTACATTCGCCCATTGGTACGCCATGTTGATGATGTATTAGGTGGAACTCAAGTGGCGCAAATTTTGAATTGATCCGTCTTAAGCGAGTGCCGTGCGCTGCATGAACCAATGAAACGTTGGCCTTTGTTTACCTAACCTCAAAACAAGTAGTTTGAACTGTGCGCCGTATCGAGTTCTTACTAGTTCATCATCAATATGGCCGGATGTACGAATATTCGGTCTTTTTTGTTGGATATTCAAAGTTTAGTCAATGTTGTCGAATAATTCGCTCATTCGGGGTTTCTAAGTTTGAGTTCGAATTGAATATCCGAAAAATTATTTGAACTCAAATATTCGAGATTTTCGAATATTTGCACAGCCCTAAAATTTACCAATTCAACTCCGATACTGTTTTAGCATTATCAATAATTCCCATGATCTCAAAATATTTGTAATTTACAATGCCCAGGATCTTGCAACAGTCGTATTCACCAAACAGCCTCCATACAATATTTCCTGGAGTTCATTCATTCCATCGTCATTACTGTAACTTCTTTTCCTCGAGCGGTTAAAGATTGTTGTATTATTTCTTAAACAGGTTACATGCCCATGCCTGGTGGGAGCGGGGGAGCTCCGATGCCTCCGTACCCAACAACTGGAGCAGCGCCTTACCCTGTACAGTCCGAGTCTCAGCAGAGTTCATTTTACCCTCCGTACCCTACGCAGCCGATGTCTGGCTACAACATGCCACCATACCCACCAACCTCTAGTTACTCAGCCACTCCGTACCCAGTGCAACAGCCCACACCATACCCACCTCAACCACAGCCTTCTTATCCGGCAACAACTCAACCAGTGAGTAGTTTTCTTTTTTTTTTGACGACTTCGATCTGAATCAGCCGAGGCATGCAGAAAATGCTCGATCATGTGTCCAGGGAGGGTGTGTGAATTTCGATAGCTAAGATATATTACCACCTATCTGCAAACTGACAATTTTACAGGACAAAGAAATATCTTCGCCATTTGTTGTAATTCTGACACCAGGTTTGCACTTTTTTTGTGTTTTACAGCATCATTACTGCGCTCCCATGAAGAATTGCAAAAAACTAAAAACATCAGCTGCGTGTTTTACACTCTAGAATGCGGCAAAGCTGCCAACTCATTTTTGCGAAAATTGTCAGTCAGGCGGGATTGCTCATTAGCCCTTGACATGTGGAAAGGCCCTAAGAATGTGGCGAAGAGTAAGAATTTGTATGGGCTAAAAATTTTGCAGGTTTTTGTCTTAGTCTGTGTAGACCATCACACCAGTATTAGATGCTCCTGTTTGTCAAGAGTTGATTTGTTGCTTCCGACGTTAATGGAACTAAACGCTCCTGTCTCTTGCTGCTGCTCTCTTCTGATCAGCATCAAAAAATAGATTTCTATGAGCTATGTCTAGAGAACTTTCAGTGCATCGAAAATACTTGTTGCTGTTTATAGTTTCGATTGACACAACTGTAAATATTGCTGCTGCACCAATGTGAGCGAACATTGCATGATTGAAAAATCGCTATGATGGGCATTAAAGCTCCAACTATGCAATTTCTTGGCAGAGCGTCATCAGCAACCTGTCACATTATTATTTATCACTATTCGATATTTGTATTTTTACTCACTATAGTCAAATTCTAAATGGTAGCTACTTTTTCTTTGTTTCATTAGTCAAACACCGGAACCATTACTGAAGAGCATGTACGTGCCTCACTGCTCACGGCTGTTGAAGATAAACTGCGGCGTAAACTGAAAGATGTTGTGCAGCAAAGTCAAGCTGAGCTAGAAATCCTTCAGCAGTCTCAGACAGAATTGAAACAAGGAGAGGCAAAACTGAATCAAATTCTAGCAAAACTAGAAAAGGATAAGGTAAAGATTTTTTCTCCCTTAATTCACAATTTGTCAGCACCTAGTAGCCATAAAGGACATTACAGAGTAAATGTCCTTGTGTCAACTCTTTGTAATTTTTTTCTAATATTCATTTTTCCAGTTTATAAAAGTCCATTTTTCGATCTCATATCTTCTTTACATCCTGTCACTCTGTTCATCTCTATTACTTTTATTACTAGACTTGCAACTGATAACTACATAGATCACAGCCAGCCAATAACGCATAGACTTGTTGTTTCGCCACCCGTGACGCCATCAAGTCTATATATGCGTGCGCTGCGCCTAAATTGAGGTCCTTTACCATCTTAGACCCGTGTGTCTACACTTAACGCCTTTTTAGCCCTTCAGGCATATTTTCACCAAGTGTCAATTAGTGGAAGTGCATCATGGTGTGCAAATTCGACGAACTTTTCATTCATTCTTATTCTCAATATTTTGCGCAACGTTTCTGTCATATTCCAGATTCATGAAGTGATAAGCTTAATCTCGAATTATCGTCTCTTTGATTTTCACTCCATTTCTTGTAGTTTGTTGATCCTACGTTAACAAAAGTCAGCTGGTGCCGAACAGTTTTTTTTCAACTAACTCTTAATCCTAACATGGTGTGAAACCCGTGTTCAACTCTCATACGTAACATGTCGCCAAAACCAGACTCTTATGTGTAACATGGTGCAAAACCCGTGTTCAACTCATATACGTAACACCTTGTAAGATCCTCAAAATTTAAAGTCATTAGAATAATTAGATTTCATTACTTTTCCTCCAAGTCTTGCTCAGTACCATAGCAAATTGATGGTCAAATAGGAATCTTCAATTGCATTTTCAAAGCTGCACTCTTGTTTAATTCTTCTAAAGAAATCTTAACAAACGTTGCATGGAATCCAAAATCCCTAAAAAAACCAACAACAAAGATACTCTTCAACCATCCATGTTACACAATTTCGAAGCATTGAGTGTAAGTATAAGGGGTGTAGATGTGTGTAGTTTGACGTTTAAGTATAGCCCCTCATCAAACCTTGAACAAGCAAGTCAGGCAAAGAGTCATTATGTGGTTAAAATAAATTCACTTGAGTTCCTTTGTATAAGTGTGTCTATTATTTTTTGCAGTTGGAACTAGATCGTAGTATGGTAATGATCAAAGAAAAAGAACTGGAATTAGAAAAAGTAATAAGTCGTCTGGCAGAGCAAGATTCTTTAGACGTCGATGAAGCTGTGATTCCGACTGCTCCTCTGTATAAACAGTAAGTATTTTTTGCCATGATTAAAAAATTAATCTTTTCATTATTTCGGAGAGGGGGAGGGAAGCTTACAAACTACTATCTCTCCTTTTCGATATTGCTATAGAGTTTTAGTTCAGGCTGCAAGTGTTGTTTGGAATTCAAATGACTAAACAAATAATTATTCTCGTACAATTTTTTTGCAAATCTATTTGTTACTTTGTTGCTGCTTTGTTGGGGCAGTGACGTGAAAAGGGGGTAGTCTAAAGTTAGTTACAGAACGGTCTCTGTGGCAAAATAGTCTTTGTCAGGTAAAATACTGAAAATATACTTAAAATAAAAAAGTGGAAAAATAAAGAATCTAAATCTAAATGTACCGGAAATTTGTTTTTATGTAAGTCTTATTGGTATGGTGTAGTGACTCTGGCAAATGTGATATAGTTTTAAGTTTGGAACAAGGTGGAGAAATGGTGCTGGGTCCACACCATTTTGTGGGGAAACAAAGCCAAGAAATACCAAAAGTTAAAATTAGAGTCAAAATTAAATTTTTTGAACTCAATGCGCACCAGTACAAAACTGAGTTTGGTGAATATCTACTGTCAGGGAATGGCCGTTAGGGCCACTGGTTTTTCAATTTCCGAGATTAATACACAGTCTTTAAAGTGTATATTTGTAGTTAGTCATGTTACACCTGAAGAAGGCAATCATGCCAAAAAGGCCCCAATGCACCAAAATTTTGACAACCCTCTTTTCAAGTCATTCGATAAATATGACAGCAATAAGGTGAGTGATGAAACCTTGTCAAGAAATCCTGAATCTAAAATGATTGCTTTAGCGTTGTTTCACAGAAAAAAAGTGTATATTCCTCAGTGCAGTACTGCTATGCTAAGGAAAACCGCCGTATGAACCTTCAGGCGTTGCCAAATTTCCTCTGGGAAATCACTAATTTTTAGAAAAATTTTTTAATATTTTCCTGCCAATTTCTCTGATAATTTTGTTTGTAATTTGATCTTAAGTGTCTGAAAATTTTAAAGAAAAATATTCACCAAAAACTCAAAGACAATTTTTGGTAAAACCACACTCACTTGCGTAAAAAATTGTTTTTAAAATAACACCTTTTAAATAAGGTCCCGAAACGCGTCCCGTTATTTTAAAAACAATTTTTTACGCAAGTGAGTGTGGTTTTACCAAAAAGTGTCTTTGGGTTTGAAGGAACTTTAACTTGTGTAGGCCCCTAACAGTATTCAATGGGAAAAATATTCACAATTTTCCTCCGAAATAAACATTTTATTGGAGGAAATTTTGCACCTCTCGAATGTTCTTACGGCTTTCTTCCTTAGCACGGCAGAATAAGACCTCAATATATCAAATCACAATTAAACTGGTTTCTGCGATTCAACAGATCAATCCTTCAAGGAGCTATAAGACCAATGTCATATTTTTCTAATAAATATCGGATTGAAATCTCAACTCGATTTTATTTAACAAATCGTAATTCTCGGTTAATTTTTTTTTTCGCCCTGTAAATTAGCAAGACGAGCGACACTCTCAAGTCATGTCTTGTCTTCGAATATCGTTTTCAAAGGATGCAAGAGCATTTTAACAAAAAGAAGACCGAAGTTCTTTTGGACCAGGAGTACAAAATAATAAGGTTTCACTAACAAAAGGAAAACTTGCATTTGTATGGGAAAGGAGTACTAGAAGGTGTAAAGAGACTGTACCAAAATCACAGAAGGTCTCGTCAATGGAGATTCAAAAAGTGCTTCAATATTTTTTCAACCCTAATCTATTTTTTATTTACCTATTATAACCAACATTCAAAGTTTTTCCACCTGTGCTCAAGTTGTCAAGTGTTTGATCAATGTATTTCCCTCATTTTTTCCAGAATTTTGAATGCCTTCGCAGAAGAGGCATCCACAGAAGATGCGATCTACTACATGGGAGAGGCGCTAAGGCACGGTGTGATAGACTTGGATGTCTTTTTGAAACAAGTGCGCTCGCTTTCACGAAAGCAGTTCATGTTCCGTGCTCTGATTCAAAAGTGTAGACAAAAAGCTGGTCTGGCTGGCTAGTCCCTCTCTCTAAGTCCACAAGCGTTTTTTTATTCATTGCTCAGATGAATTGATTGTGATACAAATCACAGCATAGAAACCTACTTACCAAGCTAATTTACGCAGATCTGGTCGATTCGAGGACTCAGATTGTAATATCATTGGAGGAATTTATCATTAACGAAAAACCCTGGTCGTTGGAATGTTCGACAAGCGACCTCGATGATGTGCATATGTTCCTTGCCACGGTGGTCTTCCCTTTTATTTATAGGCCTGTATACTCGTTGAAGAAGAAAATTTTTAGCAACCGTTTAAGCAGTTCTAAGCTTTGAGGCTAAGTCTGCAACCTTTTTGTTTTACCTTGTTTCAATATTCCAAAAGCAGCCAGCATAAAATGCGGCAGATCGCTTGCTCTAAACCTATTTAATCAATTGTACCCATAAGACTGCTTTAATTATTTTTTGCAATAATTTTAATCCATTTGTTTTGAAAATCTTATTTTTTACCTCTGCGCAACTAGGTTTCTTCAAGAAATCATGACAAACGGAATGATTAGGTCATGTGCGTTTGCATGATCTAGTGTGAAGAGCCTGTAAGAGACTTTGAAGACTATTCCAGTATTGCTACAACTGTTTAGATTAGTCCAAGGTGAAATTAAGATACTAAAGACATCCTTTCGTGAACTCTTCATTCAATTTTCTATTTTTTCTGAGTTAAAGTCATGCCCAACAAAGTCAGCTACAAACTTTAATGTTGATAACTAAAAGTCAGGTGTTCAGCCAAATCGATGAAAATGCTAAATATTAATCGTGTCAAAAAAGAGCTATATTGCGCCATAATTGTTGCAGTTTCCTTGAGAACTCTGAAAGGGAAACCAAGAGATTTGGTGCCTCCTAAATTGCGTTATTATTTGAAATGATGTTTTTGTACAACTTCCTGAGAGTGGTGAGCTTTAAAAATCGAACTTCCTATCTGTCAATTTTGAGAAAAGTGGAGCTGATTAAAAGTATTTTCAGCAATTTTATGCGCATTATTTGGCATCAATGGTGATTGCATTTAGTTCCTTTTTCTTCACTGGGCGTCAACTGCATTGTGTCAACTACCTCAGAATAAAGGCTCTGCTTATTTGACACAGTAGCAGTGACGTGTCTTTGTAAGAAAAATTCATTTTTCAGCTCTGTTCTATCTCAAATTTGAATGTTTCACACAAATTTAATTTTAAAAGGCCCATCAAGCTCATGAGGTCGTAAAGAATATCATCAAATGTTAACGAAATTTATCGGTATCAGAATCCCTCAGTTCTCCGTGCTGCGCCCTCAAGTTGTATAAGTTTTTCGTACAGAAGTTTTCAACATGCCTCTGTAATTATTAATTGGATCTATTTATTTTTTGCAAAATGGGTATGATAGATACAGTATCTTGATTTAGCCTGAGGACTCATCTTTATGCATTCCGTCACTGTGACTGCCTGATTTTAAGCCAACTCACTTACCGTACCAAATTGTGATAAAAAGCGTTGTTGTTTAAAAAGAAAGGAATGTTAGTCTTATGATTCAATTCAGACCGCGTTGTAATGGGTTGGTTTGGTAAAATTGTTGATGTAAAACCATGGGCTCTTAAACTTCCCATATAGGAAGAATCTAACTGGATCGAAGGAGTAATACGGAAGAGATTTATGATGCAAGTGAGAAATCGCTCACTCCTGCAGAATCTAACTGGATCGAAGGAGTAGTACGGAAGAGATTTATGATGCAAGTGAGAAATCGCTCACTCCTACAGAATCCAACTGGATCGAAGGAGTAATACGGAAGAGATTTATGATGCAAGTGAGAAATCGCTCACTCCTACACCGATCTAGAAATATTTGATACCAAATGCGCCTAAAGTATTGTGTCAATTGTAATGTTCCTCTTTGTACGACATTAGTTTTATCCTTATTTTAGTTAGGAACCAAAATATTTCGGCTTCTGAAGTTCAAAATTTAAAGGATGTCATTCAACTTTTTGAAGAAATTAAGTATTTTTCAATGACTTCTTGTCTAATGAATTTATGAATCTACAATGTCCCTCAAAAATCAGCAATTTGATTATCGAACAAATATTTATCTACATAACTATGATACATTTGCATCATGGAAAAGCAGCAAAAGTATTTTACCGTCAGCTTCTGAATGATTATAGGATCTTTGAAGGTCACCAATAAATTGCAAGTCTAATCAGGACCGTTTCATATTGTATAAATTTTCCAGGAAATGTATCAAATGTGCTCAGCTATCAGGATTGTACATAGACGTTTGTTGAATTTGTATATACATATTTTCTAATTTTTTGTTAGTATTTTGTGTTTAATGAAGTTAAAATTACGATGTTTAGATTATTATTTTTACGTAATATTAAATCAATAAAGTTTATCATAATATTCGTATCTTGCAGTTGTTTTTCTATCTGCCTATTCATTAATTCTATGTTCAGAACTCAGTAATAATCATGACCAACAAATCAGGAGAAACTGAGTTATTTTCTTTTGCAGTTTACCTACTATTTTTTTTTTTCGTATAAAAAGTTCATCTCTTATATTTTTTATTCAGAAAGAAGGTGTAGGAATCCGAACTTGATGCTTGAACTTTATCTGTAAACTATACAACTTATCGACGGTGAAAGTCGGCAATCACATAACTCGGTTTGCGACGTCGCAGACTTCCTGTCATACTTTATTTTTTAAATGAAAAACTACTCAACGGCAATTCTTTAAAACTGTCATGATTTTTCTTCTCAATGCGAAGAAAATTCTGCAAAAACTTCAAGAAATAATATCAATTTGTTCTCCTATAAAAAAATGGCGTAGAGGCGGAGATTTTCAGACACCGCAAACGAGTTATGTGATTGCCGACTTTCACCGTCGTTATAGTGCCCAGGCTGTCAATCAGTAACATTTCAATACAATCAAAATGAATTTATGGTGTTTACTTCCAGTGGCAGAACTAATTTATTTTTTTTGAACAGCTTGTTACAAAGCACTTGCACTTGTCACAGGTCATTGAAACAAGTATGTATAGTGTTTGAAAACTCATCATAAACAATAGGCCAAGTGTCATAACATCGAAAATTGTGTTAGTTGTTCCCTTTCGTTCTAACCACCAAGAATTTTTAAATAAGCTCTATATTTAAAGTAAGGTAGCTGGTGGCTCTATAACTTGAAATTACACATATATCTCAGATCTATCTTCCAAGACTGCTGCAGATCAAATAAAAAGTTTGGTTATCCCTTTACTAATCTCACTGATATGCGTCGAAACAAAGCCTCAAAAACCGTTTCAAAACATGGAATGTCCAGTTCGAATTACAGAGCATTATGTCTGGGCCATTTTGAAATGCAGTGTTGCTACACCCAATAATCACGGTTCAAAAATCATGCAGGAATGAGGGTAGACAATCGCGTTGTTTTTTTTAAATGCCAGAACAGAGACTTTTTCATGGGAGTCAGTTTTTCCTTTGCATTATCGAGCTTTTCAAATTATAAAACATTGCGCTGTACTACTTCATCTTCTTTCCCTTGAATAAGTACTTTGATGCAGAAATGTGGAGGATTCCAACCCATTTATAAGATTTAAAACATGGTAACAGCACTTCACCTTGAGGTTGTAATCATTAAAAAGAAAACCTATTTTTCGAGAAATGAAGGTCTTCTCACCTTCTGGATTGCAGAATTCTCCCTAAATGGGCAATGTAAAGCAGTGTTTAGTCCCAAGTTTTTGGGAAGAAAAGAAGAAAGCATCTTTGAACTTAAAAATTACTTTATCATGTAAAAAGTGTGTTTACATCTGACGGAAAATAAAAATGTGAACTTAAATAACAGGAACAGAACTGGAATTAGTAAGTAAATATATTTAATAAAAATTGTGGTGAAGCACCAATGGTGATATTGAGGCATTGGGTCATACTTCGACTGATCAGCTTGTGAGGCTCCATTGATCTTGAAGTGCTTCATATTACCGAGGTTGTAGAGTCGAATTTAATTCAGTCTCATCCTTTTCGGTACATTGACGGTGGCTCATACATGCAGATGCGGCGCTGGAAACAGGTAAAAACCAATTAAAATGTCTCCAGATAATAGTAATTTTAAATATTAATGAAACTTAAGTAACTCCTGATCGCATGAAATCAAAACAAAAATTGTTCAGGGCTGTTAAGCTGAATCATAATTTCATCCTCATTGTTTTTCTGGTGCATTCTCTTGTTCCACTTGTTTCATAACAAGTTGTTTTTCAGCATGGTAGACACTCACAAACAGCAGACGGCTAGAAAGTTTCATTTTTAACTTCGCGAAACCTTACGTGAAGCCTTACCAAAGATTGTAAAGAAAAGATCCTATGTTTACGAGAGGCAACAGCTTCATTGCGGTGAAATGTGCATGGTCACCCTTGAAATTTTCGTACGCCCTTCCATAGCAGGATCAGAACAAAAAAATCAAAGTTTTTAAGTGATGCACTATCAAATTGACTGCTGATACTCAGTTAATCATAACTTACATTAACCAAGGACTTAGAAATAAAACGCATCATTGCATCATCCTGCGCTTCATGTTCCATCCACTAAAATTCCTTGACATTTGAGTGAGAAATATAATAGTGCGCTAAGCTGAATCAATGTTATACTTACTATAATTAAACGTAGATTCCGACCCATAATAGCAAGAAGAGGATTCCAAAACCTGAGAATATTGCGGCGACTAATGATACAACAAGTTCTTTCAGTAAATCTCTATTTGCTTTTGCACTTGTAACTTCGTAGACAAAGAACCATGCTGTGAAAAATATTCCTATTCCAAGGAGGAGCACTGTTAAGTGTGGATAAACAGCTGGGTTGACTGGTGATACATACCGCTGCATAGATTCTAATTTGACCTGGAACAAACAATAAACTCTGGTTTAAAAATTTGGGGAAAAGTAATACTTATCACTCATTGGAGAAGAATTGGGGACTTCTACTTACATCTTCCTCAGATTAATTAAATCAGTGGCTTGATTAAAGGGGCTCACACAGCTGCAGGCTGATTTTTGAAACTGATAGACAAAGAAAACATAGGGAGTATGGAGCAATCCTATAGGTTGAAATGGTAGGTTCCTGTAGACTAAGTGTAAAAACGATGGACTAACTATAGATTATCTGAGTCTGTAGGGTGGGTTGCAGTTAGTTAGTCTATTCCCTGTCTCCTTAGTCGATTGCAATCTGCTGCTTCCACCAATAGAATTCCTTTTGTCTTCTATGTCTATCAATTTCATCAATCAGCCCAGTGGTTGGAGAAAATCACATTTAGTGAGGGTCCATTTTTAACACGAACTTGCTAAGAATTTATCCGAGCAAATATCAGCACGATCTCAACCTTAAAACTTCCTCATTCTACGAAAGTATAGAAAGCATATTTTAAGTGAACAAATTTGAGAATTAGCTCACTTTTTTGACAGTTTTTCCTTCCCTCCTCCGTGTTTATTAAAATTTCTATCAGAGACTCTCCTTTCAAGCTCGCAGATTTCCTCTTGCTGAGCGTAACAGGCCACGACTTGGCCTCTAGAGCAATTCCGGTATCTTTGCTTGTAAAGCTGTTATTACCTTGATAGGAAATGTTCTAAAACTAGAGAGTGCATTGAATTTTGAAGAGGTTGTTGAGTCAGAGTCAAGCAAAGCGTATCCGCCCATCACAAAAGAGCTGATTCGATTCTCGGCAGGAGTATGTTGCTGATAGTAAAAAATGTAAAATGATCCTTCAAATGAGATAGTTTTGGAATTTTAAAAAAATTGAGAGTCAGAGAGGAGGTAAGGCTGATGAATTCGTCGAAAAAATTAATTTAATCTCGGAGGAAGGCCCAGGATGCGGCCGGTGATAAGAGGACGTAAAAATACGATTTAATGGTAGAAAATAGGTAAAAGCATGTAATAAAGATAAAATATCAGAATCAAGCCTGAGGTATTCTTGGTAATACGTAAATTTTTGGAGCTACTCACCATTTTTACGAGGTAATTAATCTAAATACGTGGCCAAAAGTTTGAAAAGCCGCTTCGTGCATACATTAATAAAATAATAACATAACCTCACTTTTTCATTATCAGTTTTTACAAGTTTGCTACTTAGAGATTCAGAAATACACAACAATGGTCAATTTCTGTGGAATTATTTCTGGCTTAAACTGTCGTTTATTTTGAAAAAGATTACTATCGTCAATTTCAATTTAATATTTTGGGAATGTTTAACTTCTAATTTTACGAGAACAAAGCTAAAGCTACAGTGAGTGTGGCTCTGTGGTCGCAATAAGCCAGTGGAAAGAATATGTGTTGGCAACAAAATCAGCTGTTCATGATACAAAAGTGCCTGTTCGGTGCTGCGCTCATGTTGTTGCGTTCATTTCTGAAGCATCGATTTAAATTTGTTATCACATGAGTTTGTCCGGAGTTCCCTTGCGTCGTGGTTCGTCCGCCGAAGCGCCGCAGTTTCGTAAGGAGATAACGCATGCGGATTGCAGCGTTCGGACGTTTTGTTTTCGTGCCCAGTCAAACCGCAGTCGCGAAGTTATTATTTGTTCGGTCGCGCTCCGAAGTGATTTTGCAAATATTCAGCTCCGTTTCCCTTTCGGAGTACAATTTGTGCCTCGTTTTAATTCACGTGTGCGTGTTTCAAGTGTCCCTTGTTTGTGAAGTGTGAGTATGTGAATTTGTGAAGTTGTGATGAATTCGCCGAAATCAAATGACAAGGCATCGAGGAATTCGGATAAAAGGAAACCTACACCATCATTTTCATCTCACAATGATTCGGCAGGCGATAACATCGAGCTCTCACAGGTAATTCCACCTTTTCTGTACTGCATACCATCAAACTATGGTCAAGGGGGTAATGGCTATCTTCATGAGCATCTCAGTAAATCTGCACTGATGAGTACTATTTACTTACTCCTGCTGTGGTCTATGTATGCAACTACATACTTCAATGCGTAGTACACAAGCAAGAGTCGATACTCATCCTGAAAGAAAGCATATTTTGAGAGGCTTCGTAGTATCGGTCTATCGCGAACTTAAGTGGACGTCAAGTACTTAAATTATGTCGAGTCAACTGACATGAATGTGCTTGCTTCTCTAAGCGACGCACATTCCTCTCCAATGACTATTTTTACAGACTGCACTCTTGCGTCAAAATCCTGCGCTGAAATGTTTCATTTTTCATCATTTTTGTTTAGCTCCATGTGAATTTATCTACACTATCTCTATTCAGTTAATGAAATGTGGAATTCAGTGAGATCATGCGGGGGACTAATTTTTTGAGAAAGGTATTCTCTTCGTAGTTGACTTTTTGCGAGTCTGCTGATGAATTCCATTTTGTTTCAAATCCTCTTATCATACAACTGGTAACTGGCTCAGAATCTTGAATTTCTCTCTTCCAGGGAAACATCTAATTATTTACCGCTTCACTCAAATGCTCCAGGCACTGATAAAAATTGGAACCTCTGTGTGTAAAGTTTCAAATATTGAATCTATTTTATTGAAAGAGATTTTGCTTCGAAACTTGGAAATTGCATGGCAGAATTGGCACCCGCTTCAAGTTTCAAGTTTGGATTGCATTTAGCAAAAAGGAACCATCGCAATTACAGTGTTTTCACAATCGTGCAACTTCTTCCTTTCTTTTAAAAATACTCAGTATTTGTTCAGTATTAAAATTTACACAATTATTTTCCTTCAAAATTAAGAATATTTTGGTGGGAAGCAGAAACGATTTGCTATTCTGGGAGATTTTTTAGATCATTATGAAGAAGCCATTTTTACAATACTGTAATCACGCTGGTTCCTTTTCGCTAAATGTGATTCATTTAATCTTGCTTTTTTGCTGATCTTAGGGAAAAGGCCGTAAAAACTGTTAGAACATTACTGCCGTGCTAAGGAAGAATGCCGTATGAGCTTTCAGATGTTGCCGAATTTCCTTCGATAAGAACAGAATTTACAGAGAAAATTCTCAATGTTTTTTTTTCCAAAAATTTCAGACAATTTTGCACGCAATTTAATCTAAAATATCTGAAAATTTCAAGTGAAAATCTGCTTGAAATGCATAAAAATACATGTTTTATCAAAGGAAATTTGGCAACTCTCGAATGCTCATACAGCGTCCTTCCTTAGCACAGCAGATTACTTTTCTCCCATGGCAGTATTCATTTTTGTAAAATAGTTCAAATAATTTCCCCCGAAATTTTCAGAAACAATAGACAGGATTGTGGATAAAATGCCCTGAAAACGCCGATGAGAAAAATTCACAAGTGGTGCAGAAAATTTTTATTTGATCAAATTTAGCAACGTCGGAACTCTGATACGGCGTTTTCGCTTAGGACGGCAGAGTATTCTGCAGTTAGCCGCATTGATCGATATCTCATCAATCCGCTTTTAAGCTCGAGTGCATCTAGGCATTCAAGGCACTTCCTCAGCTTTGATCGCGCACCGAAACCGTGTTGTCAAATTTCATGTAATATCATTCAAAATCAGTTCTCAGTTAGGGGTTTCCCAAAATCGCGCTCCCTCGAATCGTTTCTATACTGCCGTACTAAGGAGGAACGTCGTATGAACATTCGAGAGTTGCCAAATTTCCTTTGGTAAAACATGTATTTCTGACGACGTTCGTGCATATTTTTCCTTGAAATTTTCAGATATTTTGGATTAAATTGCGTGCAAAATTGCCTAAAAATTTTGGGAAAAAATATATGCAATTTTCCTAACGAATTCGGTTTTTATCGAAGGAATCTTGGCAACGTCTGAAGGCTCGTACGGTGTTCTTCCTTAGCACGACAGTAAAAAAGTGTACAAAAAACTTAAATTAGATAAATTTATGGATAATGTCTTTTTAAAAAATATGCAAAAATACTAAGTATGTCGGTGAATAAATTGCGATAAATACCTAAATGTATTTCGATGAATAGATAAGTAAATGGATGGATGATTTTTTAAAAAAAAAAACAAAAAAAATTATGAAAATATACTATGTCGATGGCTCAATCGCGGAACCTCCTTGATTTTTCTTCTCTGTCAGTAGAGAAACCTACATATATAAATTTCTAGTTAAGCTCAATTCACACTATCAAACTGTTCGCATTCAACTCTTGAATGCAACGTTGCTTTCAAGAACTCGTCGTAATGGAAATTTGGATAGTGTGACACTGACGCGAGAAAACGACTATTTGATGAAAAATTGAACGGAAACTTGAATGTGACGCCACATTCAACTTTCCGTTCAACTTTCCATCCAAATGGCGGCGCCATTGAAAAAAGCGTTGTAAGTTGAATGGAGAGTAATTGAATCAATTTTTTTTGCTTACGAATTTTCATTCAACTTTTCGTTCAACTATGTCGGATGAAAGGTTTTTCTTGGATTAAAAGGAAAATCTTAAATGAAGGCTATCGATTCAAATGAAAATCCGATTGGATCAAGAGTCTTTTTCTCGTCAAGTTTTTACGAGTCCAGGGTGTCTACAAGTCCGAAAAGTCCGGAAATTGTACTGATTTTTTAAGGGCGGTCCGGAAGTACTGAAAAAGTGCAGAAATACCGCAAGAAGGTCCGGACTTTGTTTCATTTTTTTGTCATTTCTGTCGCAGTTTGTGCGAGGAATCAAAATTTTTGAAATTTTTCGAATTTCGTCAAATAGAGGTACCGAAAAAGTACTGCATTTTTCTGTTGAGGAGGTATTGAATTTCTCGGGAATGTACTGAAAAACTCCGGATCCAGGAGACATTTTTTTTTTCGTGGACCGCTCATGAGAAAACGTGAATCATTACCCACCGAACGGCAACGATGTTCGGACTTCGGAGACTGAGGTCGGTCGTTATCACTGCTTTATCAGTGTCCAGTTCCGCTTGAAGGCTATCGAAGCGGGAGGGGGGGAGAAGAACCCTTTTCGATACCACGTATATTACGGTCCACACTGTTTTCGCGAAGGACGGGAGGACCCTTGGGAAACGCAAACAATGAGATTCCAGGATTTATTTATAGTGGGTGTCGGTAATGTTATCTCGGTGGCGGGAAACCGATGAAAGTGCCATTATCAACGAACGTACGTCAAAGTGATGATTATTGTCGGGAAATGCGCGCATGCATGTCCCACTTCGACAGCGCAGCGGTGGCGTGGCGTACTTCGCGATTTATCGATTGATTTGCCATTCAAGCCTATGAAAAAGATCGAGAAACAGGATGTTCGCAACGGACGCTATAATAATCGATTCTTTACCATAGCTTCAAATGAGGAAATATCGATGATCGATCGTTCACGCCACGCCACTGGACGTCTCCTGCAGAGTTCCATCATTTGAAGGAGTAGAAAATGCCCGATCTTGCGTCTTATTGTTAGTGTCCGTGCTAATTAAGTTTACGGACTTTTAGGCTGCGACAGATGATCTGCCATCTTGTTTCTTGCATTTACTTTACACCCTGGAAAAAAAAACAAAACACATTGGATCTGGAGTCCAGAGTTTTAAAAACATCGACAAGAAAAAATACTCTTTATTCAATCAGATTTAAGCCTAAATCAAAAACTAAGCCTCCTAAGTTGAGCGGATTTCCCTTTGACTTAAGCTTAAATTTGATTGAATCAAGAGTCCTTTTTCATGTCAATGTTTTCAAGAGTCTAGACTCTAGATACAATGTGTTTTTTTTCCAGTGTTTACTTTACATGTAAAATCGTCGCAGTTCAAAAATGCGTAGACTTATTCGGCGTGGACTCCAGGATCGCGGTAAACTGAAGGCAAAGCCTGCAGGCTGATTGTTGAAATTCATAGACAAAGCTATAGACAAAAAAGGCACAGAGAGTACGGAGCGATCGTATTGGTTGAAATGGGTGGTTCCTATAGACTAAGGGAGAAAATGATGGGCTACAGGGCCACGAGTTACAGGGTAGCTCGTGGGTTGCCGTTCGTTAGTCTATTACCTACCTTCTCCGTCCATTGCAACCACCTGCTTTTACTATAATAGGATCCGTCCTTATCCCTTTTGTCTTCTTTGTCTACATTTTTGTCTATAAATTTTAACGATCAGCTTGCTGATGGACCGTGAGGAAATTTCGATCGTATACTTGATATCGTATAATTATGAAGGTGACTTGGATACGCATGTGTACCTGCAATTAACGCACCCAGAATTCGAAGAGATATAAAGATAAATCGTTTTATTTGCTTTGACACTACTCGATGGCGTCTCGTCTGTGATCCAGTGGTTCATGAAGAATCGCTTATAAGCTATCGAACGACCGGGCTCTTGAGCTTTTTTCAACCGAGCTTTCGATTGAGCCGTTGGAGGTGTTGGTTTTATTGCGCCCAGATCGGCGCATTACACGATCCCGAATCGTTTCATAATTCTTTCAGAGCTGTTAAACAGCTTACGAC